ACCGCGGTCGCCGCTCCTCCCGTGTGCGGGGCGCTCCCGTTCCGATCCCCCGGAGCCGGGCCGCGGGGGTGCCGGGGGCTGTGGAGCATCCGGGGTGTGGGGTACAAGTGCCTGCCGGGGGCACAGGAGCGTGGGGGTGCCGGAGGGCTCTCCAGAGCGGCTGGGGCACAGGGTCCCTGGGGAGTCTGGGGCGCTCTGAAGCAGGAGCAGGGTGCATATGTGGTGGGGGGTGTTTTGGGGTGCCCCGGAGTAGGGCCAGGGCACTCTGGAGCCAGCCCATGGTGTGGGCTGCCTGGGGGATCTGGGGTGCTGCGGAGCAGGGCAGGGGCACAAGTCCTGGGGGGCACAGGGCTCTCCAGGATGGAGCCAGGAGCGTGGGGTGCTCCAGAGTGGCTGGGGCACAGGATACCCGTGCTGTTTGGGGGGCTCAGGAGCAGCCCAGGGCACAGGGTGCCAGAGCTAGCTGAGGCTCGTCAGGGCTCGTGAGGCTGGGGGACACCACAGGCCCTTTTGCAGACCCCACCATGCAGACCCGTCACGGCAGGATGTTTTGGGGGAAAGGGGTGTCCCTCCAGTGTAGATGGGAAACTGCATCTGCCCCAGATGCTCTGAACCAGTTCAGACCCTGTTTGGGGAAGGCCTCCTTCCCACTCACGGACCCCCAGGATGGACTCTGTGTCCCAAGGGAGATGCATCCCCCTGCCACAGCCATACAGTGAGGAGCCGGCAGCTCTTGCACAGGAGGTGCTGGGAAAAACAGCTGAAACCTGGCAGCCCTGGAGCTTAGTAGATCAGACTTTCTATAAGGATGATGCAGATTCCCCAAGGGCTCTTTTGTGTGGCCCCAAAAACAAACTGAACCCCTGCACGCAGGGGAAGGGATGCTCAGGGAGGGAGCTCACCAGTAGGATTCGAGTGCTGGTGAAACCCATGCCCCACTAAGGGAGTGGCTGGCAGAGGTTTGGGCTGTGGAGCAGGTTTTGTTTCAAAATGTATTGTGATCACATTAAACAGCTCATGGAGTGGTTTTAAAAGCTCAGCAACTTAAGTATTTTATGTGGGCTTGGAAGGCTTTGCTGCTTGCTCCGTTATGTGTTGAAGTGGTCCCTTCAAGACTGGAGAAATCTCAGGCCCTGTTTAGCAGCACAGCCCCGAACACCTCCTGAGTGTGGCATTAGGGACAGCAGTCACCCCGGGGGTGTCGTAGGGCTGTCGGGGACTCTGCCCCACAGGGGACATTTTCCATGTTCCCCATCCACAGGATCAGTCTTTGGTTGCCCTCCCAGGAGGACCTGCCACATCACTTCCCCCATGGCCATTTCTCAAATGGTCAAGGCTCATTCACGCCAGACGCTCTCCCCTCATGATTTAGTTCTCGCCATGGCAAGTTTTTCCACCAAAACCTGAATACTCACTAGAACAAAGGATTGCTACCAGGGAGTCCTCACCAGTCTTACCTCCAGATTACCCCTCAGGAAGGACACGTTCATGGCTCCTGACCTGTGAAACGAGGGTGATTTTAGCTACTGTGGCCAACTTTGCAGCGATGTGCTTGAAGAGTGCTCCCATAACCTGTTTGTACGGCTCAGCTTGGGAGCAGCAGCCTCTGCCACGGGGAGCCAGCGTCGGGTGAGGAGCGTAGCATCTTTCATCGCCCCAGCCAGCTCCTCCGGGAGACACCGGGCTGTTTCCTGGGGCCTGCCGTGTTATTTTCCTCACCTCCTGATTCACTCCACAACCATTCTCACATGTGTGGCCTCTCCAGTGCCTTGTAAGCGGCGAGGACATGCTGCTGCCTTTGCATAATGCAGTTAAAAATCAATCAAGCACGACACACAAGTCCATTGGAAACCAGGCTTCATTAGCACCTGTGTAAGAACAATTTGTTTTCTTCAGTCCATCCAGAGCTGAGCTGGTTCTGAACTCCAAATGCTTTCGCTTGTCACTGGTGTGTTTGCACTGACTCAGTACATAACTGCAAGAAAAAAAATTTAAAAAAAGCTTTAAACGCTTAATGCTAACCATTCTGCTGGCCAGATGAGGACTTCACATTTTGCGTAATGCAGAACAGATCACACTGTGTTTAGGAACTATTTCCAAAGCACAATAGGATTTATTTTATCTTTTTTTTTTTCACTTTAAAGGTAGGAAACAGCCCAGGGTCAGTGCAGGGTGAGGAATTCCAGGTGTTCCTGCAGGAGAAACCAGCTCCTCCTCTGGCTCCTGGCCACACGCGCCGCTTGTGCTCCGGCTCGAGTACAGCCTCACTAATGTAGGCCAGACTGCTGAGGGGCTGACATGAGGATCAGGGATTTCACACCTGCTATGTTTGCTCAGTTTTACTGCATAAATATTTGTTGCAAACGTTGACATTTGATTTTGACACATTGGGGATTAAGGAGTGGCTCAGAGGTGACAGCACCTACCCAGTGGTGCCTTTTTTTGTGCAGAGAGAAGAGAGCTGTGCACTCCTTAGGACATCTTCAAAGGCACCAGAAGCACTTGCTGAACAGGAATATGCGCCGGGAACGTCATGACCCCTTTTACACACAGCCATCCCCGCTCTGCCCACCAGCCTCCTCCTGCACGGACGAGGCTGTCACCGTCACACCTGAAAGTCCTGTTGCACAGAGGTAAAACGAGTTTCCCTGTTTCAAAAGCACGGGAAGGAGGAAAGTGTCGGCATCCCAGCTGAGGAGGAGGAGTGTTGCCATCAGCAAGGGCCATGCGGGGCTGATGTGGCACAGATGTGTACGAGCCAGCGCAGCCTGCACAGGATCAGGCCCCAGGCTGTTTTTTCCTGCTTGGGTGATCAAGCAAAGAGCCAGGGCCAAAGCCAGCCTCAGCATCTGTGCAGACCCACTCCTGCCCCCATGGTTTACAGCACTCTTTCAGCAGCGCTGTGCCTGGATCCCGGCTTGTCTGCAAGCCTTGAGAGTTGATGTAAGGAATTATTTTTACACCTCACTACGTGCAAATAATATGCGGGGATTTATTTGCATGATACCCCTCCCAGCCTGTCAACAAACACATCAGCTTCCTGGAATTTTTGCTTTCTTTGCGTCATAATATTTCTAGACACAGGACGTTTCTCCATTTGCCCCACGCGGTTCAAAGCCGCTCCTGGTAAGTGAAGCAAAAGGAAATGGAAGCAGGTGGTGTGGGAGCCTCTTCGTCTGCAGTCACGGCTCGTCTTTCATAACAAGCACCTTTTCTTTCAGGTCTCTGCGCAATAAGGGGAGCTGCTCCGTGCCTGGTTTTCTCTCGGCAGAGGCAAGGAGATTGCCACACTGCTCCTTGATGTTTGGTATTCGAGGTCTGCACTGTGCTGACTAGGCGTTGGGCAGGGAGCAATCATCTAAATGACATGGTATTGTTCCTGGATCCTGAAACTCTGCTGCTTGAGAGCTCAGAGAGGCCCTGACTCTCCGCGTAAGGAGGATCAGCTGTAAACAGGGTTGGGGAATTAAAGAAAACTTTAATATTTTCCCTTCTGAGTCATACAGGCTTTGCCTGAGGCATCATCATTCCTAGAGAAATGAGTTGACTATCAAATGGATTGGCAGGACACAGAGCTCTTGAGAGCTAGGCCCTGACTCTCCGCGCAACGTAAATCAGCTGTAAACAGGGTTGGGGAATTAAAGAAAACTTTAATATTTTCCCTTCTGAGTCATACAGGCTTTGCCTGAGGCATCATCATTCCTAGAGAAATGAGTTGACTATCAAATGGATTGGCAGGACACAGAGCTGCGATGTAACGTTATCTCATTGCTCATGTAACTGGGCTTATGCCTGAACTCCTGGAAACTGGAGACTCACAGGGGGAGAGCCCAGATCCATATCTGGCTCATTTTACTCTCTTGTGCCAAACATCTTGGCAAAGAGGTTGGCAGAACATTACCACTCAGTCTTGGAAGCAAGTCTCACATAAAATGCATGGAGATGTCTTTTTCCATGGGCGGTCATGTACAAGCCACATACTCCTGAGAAGGGAGTACAGCTAAAAGCAAGGTCAGAATTGTCCTCATTATCGGGGGGAAGCCTTAGGATGGGTGACAAGACTGTGGTCTGCAGTGCAGGGTGCTATAAGTTTGCCTTGATGCATTGCAGTTGTTTCATTGGTGTTTCAAGGGCAGCTGAGGATCCTCCATCTGTAGGAGACCCCATGGAGGGATGGCTCATTTAGTGCCATCTAATCCTAGGGTGCATAACGGCATGGATAACATAACCAAGCGGTTAGAGGAGGAGGAAAAGCCATAAGGAACCCACTCTCTGAGGACATGACTCCACCTTTACATTGCAGCAAGCTCCACCACTTCCAAGGAGGTTGGTGTACACAGGGAGCTGCATCCTAGCAGGCCAGACCTGGAGGTCTTTGTCTTCTGGATGGGGAGAGCTGATTTGTAATC